AGAGAGAGAGAGAGAGAGAGAGAGAGAGAGAGAGAGAGAGAGAGAGAGAGAGAATCATTAAAGGCATTCCTGCTTCCAGCCATGTTTTAAGATAACAGAGACTATAATGAAAAACTGGACAGAATACATACAGCATCTGCTTTTGGATACCGCATAAACCAGCACAAAGCTGTGACCCAGGTGACCCGCAGCCTCACTGACTTTGCCCGAGAAGGTGTCCAGGCCAGAAAAACACACACTGGCGTTTGAGATAGACTGGTGTTCTCAGGTGGAGGACTCGCTCACTTCCTACAGGGAGCTGAGGTCCCTGACATTTGTGGTACAGTGTCCTGAAGAGGAAGTCATTGCACCAAATGAGAGCTCCAGAAGTCTGTGGTGTCCCCTTGAGTCTTTACTGAACAGTAAGGTATGTGGGTAGGGCAGTTTCTCAACCTGTGGGTCACGACCCCTGGAATGACCCTTTCACAGGGATTCACAATCAGATATCAAATACCTGCACATCAGACATTTACATCGCAATTCACAGCAGCAGCAAAATTACAGTTATGAAGGAGCAACAGAAATAATTTTATAGTTGAGGTTCACCCCAACATGAGGAACTGTATTAAAGGGTAGCAGCATTAGGAAGATTGAGGATGACTGTGTAAGGTGACATCCCACAGGTTGAACAAAGTACCCATGGAAATAGTGGTTCCTAGAATTTAGACAGATCAAAAGACCTTTTAATTCTGTTTGAGAATGAGACTTCTTGCTCACCACTAAGGGCCTTTAGTAGACTTCAGAACACTTTTAAAGCTGGCCTCTAAGCTTTACTAGGGCAGACCTAGAGTACTTGCTGATTTAGGGACATTTGAGATCTGCTGTAATAAGACTTAACAAGCCTCCAAAGACTCCAACAGATCCACAAGTGCTATTTACCAGAACAAAGCCCAACGTTCCATAAATGACCAAAGCAAATCCAGTTACTCAACAATCTATAGCTCACAATGTCCACAGTTCAGCAGGAAATAAACGGTCATGATAAAAAGAAGGATAATATGTCCTACAGTGGGGGGGGGGATCAGACCACAGAAATACCCTGACACTAGAAAGCGACAGTGATGGCGGAATTAGCGAATAAAGACGCCGAAATAGCCATTATAGCCATGTCCAAGTGCATAGAGAATCACAAACACAGGGAAGAGTTTTCGACAGTGGTGTAAGAGGAGCTTCTTGGGATGAAAAATGCAATGTTGAAAATGGAAACTTCACTGGCTTGGGTCAACACCAGATTAAGACTAGTGATTTAAACACCCAGCAATAAAAATAATCCAAATGAAGTATGCAGACAAAATGGAAGAGAAATTTAAACCTCAGTGACACTGCCGAGCGAGCAGCCTGATGGGTAAACAAGGATCACCCTCTCCAAAGGGCCAAAGGAAGGTAAAAGAAAAGAAACATGTTAGAAAAACTTGCAAAAAAGATTTCCAAAAACTGCTAAAAAGCCAAAGAACACAGATTCAAAGCCCTCCGCATCTTTCAAGCAGAGCTACAAAAAGAGAATCTGCCCAAGATACATAAATTCCTAGAAAATACTAATAAAATTCTAATGCCAGCCCAAGGAAATAGAAGAGCCATGAAAAGAGAGAAGAATTTCAGATTTTTCAAGCCGGGCGGTGGTGGCACAGGCCTTTGATCCCAGCACTCAGGAGGCAGAGCCAGGCCGATCTCTGTGAGTTCAAGGCCAGCCTGGCCTACAGAGTGAGATCCAGGACAGGCACCCAAAACAACACAGAGAAATCCTGTCTCAAAAAAAAAAAAAAAAAAAGAAAAGAAAAAGAAAAAAAAAGAATTTCAGATTTTCTACTAGTCATAAAGCAGACCAAAAAACCATGGAATGATATTCTTAAACAAAAAAATTAGAGAAGCCTGTACCCAGCAAAAATGGGGGTGTACCCAGTGGGGGAGGGTGAGTCCACACAAGACTGTGGAATATGGACCAGCCTTCCGGATTCCTATTCTTAGTGTTTCTCAGGGCAGCAGGGAATGCAGAGAGGTCGAAAAGAGAAATAAGACCAGGTTTGGATGGATAAGCAAGCTAAGGACAGGGACGACACACCGCACTGCTCCTGACTCCTGCCAAGGGCGACCTTACTGCAGGGTCCCACCGTCGACCCCCACCTTGTGGTCCCACGTGCGGCGTCGGACCCTGTGTTTGTGTTCAAGGGCTCTGGGTGCTCCGTGTGTGCTGAATTGAATCAAACTGAACTGACTTGACTGCTGAGGGACAGAACTGAATCCAGACTGCAATTAAATCTTCCTAATTTGAATCTGCTAATTGGGAAAAGGCTGGGCGGAAGTCGGCAGTGGTGTGATCCATCTTTTAAGAGACGGTTCAGTTTTAACGGGGAGTACCTGATGATGCTGAGGATGGGAGTCAGAACACGCTTACAGCGCTCTTCCTGACCCCCAGAAGCATGGGAAGCAGACGGTCAACAAGAGCTATACTGTGAATCAGTTCCCGCTATAGAGGAAGGGGTGGCTCCCAAAGCCGCCCTGACCTAACCAGCTCTCCTGGCCCAATGTGTGCAAGACGATACACTGGCGCGTCAGCTTTTAAAAATAGCCGGAGCCGGGCGGTGGTGGCGCACGCCTTTAATCCCAGCACTCGGGAGGCAGAGGCAGGCGGATCTTTGTGAGTTCGAGGCCAGCCTGGGCTACCAA